TGATCAACTCATATAGAATATAGCTGATGATGAATATGATTATTCGAAACCGGTTCTGATAAAAATTTTAATAAATAAGCAAGTAAGAAGTTCTCCTTTTGGTTTTTATTTTATAACATCAACTTGCAACATGGATCACATAGTTAATTCAAGATACCCACAACTTTTTAGCCTGTAGATGTCGTTATATGTTTGAGTTATGAGTATTTACGTGAGCTACTTAGGTACCTGTAGCGAACAATACTTCGGGCAAAATGACATATTTCTACAACTACAGGATTTATGAATATAAGAACGATATTACTAGAATGAAAATTTTGACCCAGCAATATTGATAAGTAACCCAACGATTTACAGGACCGTGTTGTCTTTCTGTTAGTTTGTATCAAAATTGCCGCTTTTTTATAATAGTAGAGTATAAAAGCAAAAAAAAATCCTTATTTACAAAATAATTATTTATCGATATCCTGTTTAACGTTTTCATAACGTTCGACCGACCGAAATATACATTTCATCAAAATAGTTTATACTTTAGATTTTAAAGGGTTGCTTTAAAAGGGGTTACCCCCCAAAAATAAAACGAACGGACGCAAACGTAACGAGAACGAATCGTTTCTGACGTGTACTGGATGTTTTTGACTCGTTTTGTTTTATAAAATAAAATTTGCACCGGGCGGTTTTAAGTTACCTACAAATAGTAAATATCAAACATTTTTTAATTTATTTTATATTGGAATCGATAGTTTAATTATTTTGTAATATTTACAAAGTACAAATTTTGCAAAAATATATAACAAAACAATTTCGATATATATTGTTTTACAATTCTGAATTGAATTGCTTCCATCTATACAAAATAAAATAAATAAAATTTAAACAAACTTTCAATAAAAAAAAATAAATTATTAATAAATTAGATCAAAAGAAATTTGTTACCGTTTTTTAAATAAAGAAAACAGGTGTTTGCAACGATGTAAAATAATAGATTCGTAAACAACAACGAGAAAAAAAGTATTTACGACCGTGAAGGAAAAATTTTCTTTCTCTCACTGACATTTTTTGATATTAATGGTGTTTACACAACGTTTACGAGTGCGGTTTGGTCGACAGGCGGACTTTTAATCCTGCAGATCTTTTTCAAACAACACCAGGAAAAAATTGTTATCCATCAAATAATAACGAGGTTAAAAAAAAAAATTGATAAATTTAGTTCAAAACCAAACCAACCCTTTTTATATAAAAATTTCTTCAAGTTAGGTAAATGAAATGTTGCGTGAGAACGTAAAAAGGTCAAAACCCTTTCTGGAAATTATTACTTACCAAAAAAGGGGTTAAAGTTTAGGTAAATCGGAATCAATTGATTAAACCTTGGTTAAATCTAAATCGGTTTTTACGCATTTCTGGTTTCTGTGAAAGAAAATATTTTAACCTTTTATATTTTACGCACACCTGGTGGTTATAACAACTCAAATTTCTCAACTCATAACCTCTAAATCTCATGAACTTAAATAACCAAACATAAAAAAAAGTCTTAACTCAAGATGTTTAGTGTCAAGTTCACTCTATTTTTATGATTACCTTTTAACTTGTGTCATGCTTTCTTGTCTCCTTCCTCTTCCGTTGTAATTTGAAAGGGATGACATAAGTTGTAGTACGAGGAAAATTAAATGTTTGAATATTTCGCTTACTAAAAACATAATAGATTTTTATCCAAACATCAGCTGTAGTAGCTGTAATACAAGATTGTTATTATTTTGCACTTATTAATGATATTACCAATAATAAAACAAACTCAAAAACCCTATTCTTGATATGAAGAGATGTTTGTTTTCATTTGTTTTTCTAATATGATATTGGCATTATTCATATCTTTACGTTTTTCCATCATAGAAGTATGACAAGTAATCTCTGGGTGGATGAGCAAGATAATATTGCATTGTAAACCTTTTTGTGTATCATACAAAATTAATTTTTTTATATGCCTGTTGAGATAAATTTGAATTTTCGATGTTGATATTTTTATCGGAGAGAAAGGGTAAAAGTCTACTTGGGATGACAACTATATAAGTCATACCCAGGAACGATTGAAAAGATTTAATTATATATTTTAAACATTTTGTCAAAATGTGGTAATGAATTAGCAACCCAAGCCAGTAGTTTGCACAAAAACAAAAAAGAAGTATCAACTGAACTGGCTAATAAAAGCAGATAAAGCAGATCAGTCAAAAATATTAGTTTTGGATTTATGCAAACCACAACTTTTTTAGCGCACAACCCGAAAAAGCTAAAAGTCATTTGTTATGGATGATATATGATGACTAGCACAACTTGGCATAACAAACACTGAAAGTGTTAGTGAGTAGACTCTCGAAATAATAAAGTTTTATGGCATGATAGAAAGGGGAGTAGATACAACTGACAAATTAAGTGCTAGATAGATTGTCGATCGAATATCCAGAAGGTGTCCTTTTGTCATAGTATAATTCTGTCCAGCCAAAAATCTTGTTGTTTCTAATCGCAATACTCAGAAGAACATGTAAAGAATTAAACTTCTCAAACTATTAGGAAAAGTGCTAGTAAATGCATAACAAATAACCCGATCAGAATATATGAAAAGAAATCATTTATTCAAAGGAGACCATAATTATGAGTATTGTAAGGTTATGTTATAATGTAGAATCTGATGCAGAGATTTCTTTGTAGAATATTATTATTTGCTATTACTTGGGGAGAGTCGATTAAAACGGTATGCTAAGGTAATACTCAAGACACGATTCTTTGGTTTCACACTAAATGATTTCAGAACTTTGAACAAAAAAACCGGCAAGTCTTAGTTATATGGTTTACTAAGTAGACATCCAATCATCAATCTGCGCAGTCCTGAACCAACATCGCTTTCAAGAGTCACGTGTTTTAATATACGTACTGTTAAAAAAATATTTTCCGCTGCTCTCTGATGTGCTCTTCAAATATAAGATTCCTGCCTAACATATTTATACGGAACGGGCATAATGACAGTACCAAAGCATAGGTCCAAATGTCTATCTATGCATGGAGAAAAAACACCAAATCAGGTAAAATGTCAAAATTGCCAGCGCTGGACCGTGAAGAGGATATTTGACATCTAAATAAATAATCATAAATTACCACAACATCTATTACCATATCTAAACAATATTGATTTATTTAGAAAGGACAAATTTGTTGGCATAAACCAATGGCTTAACGTAACCTGATAAAAAGAATCTATCGGTGATAAATTATGATTGAAGTGTACCATAGTCAAGATTACACGATTACCATTCTTCCTGTTCAATAAATCAATTGTTTGACCAGCGGTGTGGCTTCATCTTGTTAAAACCACCCATCATTGATGTCAAATCCATCCAAGTCTAGAAAAAAATAGTCATCCATCATGACCATTTTCGTCGACGAAAAAATATTATCTAATCACATCTTCAGTATGACATCCACACCACACTGTCACTTTGAGGTTGCATGGAATCCCTGGAAGCACATGTGGTATTAATGGCGACTGATTTGGCTCCTTTCGAACTGGGACATTTATGGCTATTCTATTTTCACTGGCACAGCAACATCTAATAATAAATATCAAATTTATCCATTAAAGCATGCCTTAGTTTAATGGATGACTATTGCGACCAAAAATTGAAGTGAGCACTCTTAAAGTTGCAACCACCTACTCCTGATCCTAATATTACTAAGGTATTTGTGATAATTTCCAAATGTTGCTCGTTGGTGAACTTCAATGATAAAAATGTGAATGTTTTGACATTCCTAACAAAAGATTAATTAGTTTTTAAAAGATTACGTTTTCAAAACCATTACACCAACAAATATGAATGAAATTTCAAAATAATCAGAAACTCTCCAAGTTTTTTTGCACACTCACAAATATCTATATGAGTTCCACATAGGCCACACGACAGATATCTAGTCGATAGTTCATTTTGTAACTCCATCTTGCTAATTGTCATCACTACGGCATTAATTCTTTCCATAAGTTCTTCTAATATATTTATTAAGCCCTGTCATAATCATCCAAAACCTCATAATAGCAGTCTTGACATGTTAAATGTGTTCATTAAGTTATATAACAGTGATATTTTTTAAATGACCATCATTCATGGTTTCAGTCCATTCTAATCCATCGATTAGAAGTATTCATGGTGTTCCATATAGAACATAACTATTATTACCAATTTTAATCCATTTGGCGACAATTGTCTTGATAACAGTTAAATTTTTTAATCAAGAATCAAAGAATATAACAACAAGATTATTGACACAGTTAATGATTTGCAAATTAAGGTTGCAAGAAATTGATTTTAATGGATTTGTTGCTTGGGTTGCTTCAAAATGAAAAGGAGAAAAGAAAAAAAGCTTTTTATGTTGATTGCTTTCGTGTCGTTTTAAAAGAGAGAACGTACTACCGTTCTGGGCGAGTGTAATAAGAATACTATGGTTGCCGTGTTCAGAATTTGAAACGGTCACGGTCACCGTGAGATTACCCACAGACGATTTCCAAAAGAAATTAACATATTTCAAAACAAATCGATATTATTCGAATTTTCCATAAAGAAATAAATTTCTTAAGAAATTTTGTTCATACACTGCATATGATAAAATAAATAGAGTCTGATTATCATTCTGTATTCTAAATCTATTAAAAAGCTCTATTTTTTTTAAATAAACATCCGGAAAAACAAAAAAAAAAGAAATAGAGAAACAAAGAAAGAAAATCGCACATTACATCTCCTTCAAAGAAAAAAAAGAATAAAATAGAGAGAGAGAACATCGAATACGATCACAAACTTGGTCCCCATTGGATATTTCAAAGTAATACCTCGAGGGAGGCCATTTGTGATTGGATGGTAAACGACCGGTTCGCGTCACGACCGCCAGAGGGCGACTCTGTACGTGGTAACTCGTCGTAACTCGAGAGCCTACTCTCCTCCTCAGTATCAAACGGCGGTTTGGTCGCGTTCGGTTCGTATAGTAGTAATAGAAAAACGATTTACGCAAGCGCTCCGACGAAAAACAAAAGCTCGGCGACGGTGGCGACGCTCAACTAAAACTAAAACGAGTAAAAATCGAAGTTGTTAAGAGAGGAAGGTGGAAAAGCGTGTTTTAATTGGTCCGGTTATCGATCTCAATTTGGCTCCGTTTAATCATCGGGCGGTTAAAAAGAAAGAAAAATAAAAGAAGATAACGTAAAAGAAGAAATAAGTTTTTAAGTTTTAGTTAGATCCATTTAAAAAAAATCAAAATCGTGTTGTGAATATAATATAAGAACTCTGCAATAAAATAACAAGTGAAAGACAAAAACATTTTTAATTCTTGAAGACGAAAAGAGATTAAAAAAGCCAGCCAAAAAAAGGAGAATCCTTATGTTAGTGTTTCGAAAAGAAAAAGGTGGGTGTGGAGAACTTCTGTCATTATGGTAACACTTATGCCGTGCAATTATTTGAATCAGAATTCGGCGAGATGTGCGATCATCGACAAAATGTGCGAGCCAAAGGTAAAATCAAAATTTCAAAACAAAAGAATTAAAATTTATAGAATTTCCAAAAAAAAATCGCTATATATATTTTACTTAATCTAAGAACTTGATATTCTCAATATCTGTATTGATAATATTTAAACAAAAGCAGACTTTGTAAAAACTTCTTTCTTACTTTAATTAATTAAATATACTCGTACCGGTTTCGACTTCTTAAAAAACCATTATCAGCCGAATAGTCAAAAATTGAATCAAATCTGGAAATAAATAATACACAAATTAAAATTAATATTACACTGCTCTTAAAAATGATGTTGAAATGACCTTTCATTTTGATTCCGCCATCGGCCATAGTAAAATTGAACTCATACCGCGATAAAGCACATGTAAAAAATTGTTATTTAAAGACATAGTGACAGTTGCGTATGTCAGTTTTTTAGATAAACTTTACGACTTTGTTATAAAAAACGCCTTTTGTGAGATTTTTCGAAACGATCTGCATCAAAAAATTTATATGAATGTATCTCGTAACTAAAGGAGACCTTAAAAGTTGAATCATAATGATGGGACTAAAATTCGGCTTCAAAACTAATACAAACCATACAATTCTTCATAAAAATCGTACTAAAGATAGTGTTCTCATCAAAGAAGAATATTTTATAATAAAAAAGAATAAGCTAATATTTTTAGAAAATTACAATAACTGTTACTGTTAAGTAACTTCATTTATTTTGATACAGTTCCAAGAATATTCCGTTGCGATTTTGTATCCTTTAACTTGGATATTTTATAGCAATGTTGCATAGAATGATACATTTTAAATAATCCCAAAGGAAAAATCTAAGATATACAATTCGTTGGCGTATAGTGTGATTTTAGGTTGTGGGTTTTTTTGGGATGTCGTTTAGGAAGATGTCGAAAAGAGCCTTGTAGAAACCCACATTCAAGTAGAGTTGGTTAGGAGGTGATGTGGTAGATTTTTCCAAATGTAGGGATACAAGCATTCTGTGGGATCCAGAATTTGCTTTGTTTAAGGTGTCTATAACTCTTCTAGATATTTGGTGTGTCGTTGAGTGATTGGGACAGTAGCCGAACTGGTAATGAGGAATTGTGTCGTGTGTGCAAGTTTCCACTGAGCCTACCGAGTATTACTTTTTCTACTATTTTTGATAATGCTGATAGGAGCGACATTGGTCGGTAGTTAGAGGAGGATGAGCGGTTTTTTTAGGTGTGACTATCGGTACAATAATTACAGTTTTTCATGACGTTGGGAAGTTTTATCATTTGACCATCTGCCTTATGATGTAGCATAGTTATACTATGGCTTTTGAAGAGCTGGTGTAGAAGAATGTTTTGGATATTACTTAGGCAAGGGACTTAAAATGATTTTTGTTTTTTTGATACTGTAATAATAATCACTCAATAGATTTATTGAGGGAGTGATTAGATGAAGTGGTTTGGCTGAATTAAATAGTTATTTTCTTTTGTTCGATTATATTATTAGATTTAGCTTAGTGGATGTTTGCGAAACAGTTGGTTGGTAATTGGTTTATATCTTATCTTTGTCAGTGTACTTGTGGTCGTTTTGGGAGTTCAAGGCGACTTTTGGTTTTAGTTTGTTTTTGATTTTTCGAATGTCTTTCCAGGTAGAGTAGGTGTAGTTTTTATATATTTTCAGTTTGGTTGTGCATGTCTGGGTCGTATACACAAAGAAAAAATGTTAGATATGGCTAAATGCTTTGTTAGACATCGCCGAACATGAGTACCATGAGGTGAAGCGCGTTGGGCGTGGACTATACAGTTAAACTTATTCTTCGCAATACATGACTAATGATTACAATCTTGTATAAATATAATTTATCATCTTTGCTTACCGCATACTTCTTACTACAATATTACCCATAATCTGATAACGTTTTGTTTCGTGGTCACACATAATCCTTGCATTCCTTCTTTGCATATTCCTTCCAAATCATTTTCAGGTCATTATTTCATTAAATGCGTTTATATTATTCTTATATTACCTTCCTTAATTTTACTTCAACCATGTCCAAACCCCATTGCGATATATTCACCTAGTATTTGTAGCCAAAGATCTTCCTTATAATGTCTTTTCACAAAATATCTATAACACCTTGGCTAATAAATACATGTCAAATTTAGAGGAAAATACAACTCCAATATGTTTCCATCGTTTGCTTTTAGTAACTCTACATAAGGATGCACCCATGTATTATGCAATAGCAGTATGAGTGTGGGTGTAGGATTATTTTTATTTAGATAAGTTACAACCTCAATAAAAGTAGTGTGGTATTGATTATAATAGTTAATGAGCAAATTATTGCCTTTTAAAACCTCAGCACTCATCAAGTTCTTGAATAGTATGGACGAGTATAGAACTTAGTCATGGCCGAAATAATTAACAAAGTTAGTGGCAGGCAATTGATACTCATAATCCTGTCAAAATATTATGCTATGTTAACGACGCTGTGTTTATTACTGAGGATGAGGACGATTTGCAGAGAATGCTAATATCTAATCTACGTGATCACAAGAAAAATGAAGATATAAGACAAAATGTAGTCAGATGGCTCAGAGCTAGAAGAGAATCGTCAAAAGATCCAGACCAAACAAAAGAAAACTTCCAGGGAGAAAGAAGAAGAACAAATAGCATATGCATTTTGTTTTAGCTGTAGTGCTCTGTAATTTATAGTATACCTACATTTACATACGCTGCGTTCCCGTTGCTCAATTAAAAATTGATGAACTTAATCTGGAATTTATTGGTGTGAAGATAAAAAGATTTACACAAACAAAAAGAAATAGTACCTAAGAAAATAATAAATTAACCATAATTAAGTGTACAAGATTGTTGACAACTGAATAGTAATGTAGTAAAAAAGTTTTTCCTGCGGCAACCAAATGCTCATTAAATTCTTATGTATATGGATGTGTTTGCGAATGTCAACAGCTTTATGTCTTTATTGAATAATTGATTCAAGAAGAAAAAGGCTAGGCAATGTTAAGATTTGTAAGTAGCTCTAGGTGTACTTCTCGCAATAACTAACATCGCACTCCTCTGCACTATACATTATTGCCTAAAGGTACAAGAGTGACCCTAAAACATTTTTTTAAAGACAAATAATTCTAATGTAATAAATCAGTACTAATTTTTTATGGAAAACTGTGAACGTTTATGGATGATAAATCTATTTGGGTAAAGGTTGAATATTTTCAACGCATTATGAGTAAAAATGAAAAGCTCACCGTCATGATCATTTAAGCTTACCCATAACGCACGCTCTGGTTAAACAATTCGAACAATACATGAAATCGGATATTACAAATACCATGATGAATAAGTTTCTCTACTAAACCCCGTTACAACATCTTAATGTATATATGAGAAATAAACCTATGAAAAAATTTTAATAAAAACATTACCAAAACATTGCGGAAACGAACTCAATAAGATTCACCATGCGTGGTAATAGTCATAAAATGATCCCGTATACTTATAAAATTAGTGGCTACAGTAACAGTAACATGTTCTAAAAATCATTTAAGAAAATTTACGACTCGCAACAATTTTTCATCGCGGCGAAAGTTTCATGTAACGCATTGAAATTTATCGCTTTATCATCTTTTTCTTTTTCATGTCTTTCTTTCCGTCATTTTTTTGTTGTTGTATTTATTTTTGCTTTAAAATGTATTTCGAAAGGCGCACACGTATCTCGTTGGCTCGTATGATTTGTGGCGTGCTTTATGTGTCATCCTTTTAAGAGCATCAAGCGTTACGGCAGTTGGGCGAGATTTATACATTTGCGGCCTCTATTATATACAAAATTGTAGAGCCTTTAAATACTCGCCCTAAGAACTCCCTAAGACTAAAACAAATAAAAATAACACAAGTTACTTTTTTTATATACCTTCTAATATTTAATTACATAATAAAATATTTTCTTTTTGTTATAGGTAAAAAGGGCGAGAACTGACGCAACACCAGATTCAACAGAAAGAGACAGGTAAATATTGACTATAAGTATTAACCATATTATATTAATTTATGGTATTGCACGTTTATGGTTAATTTTATTACAGTGTTAATCAAATCAATTAATAACGTCAATTTTCATCGGTACAAAATTAACAAATTGATTGTTTTAATTAACTAATAATAATTTATCGGAATAATTTAGTTCAAATAATAATTTGAAACAGACAAGAAATGTTAATAGCCGATTTGATGATTATCTTAAAACAAAACGATAAAAAAACTTTATAAAGAGTGATTAGTAAAGATAACGTAAGGTTGAAATAAGAAGAAAAAAAGAGAATCTGTGTGACATTTATAAGGATTCCGACTCGAGTGTGGCTGGCTGGTTGGTCTTTTAAGGTGAGATTTTATCGTTCCAAAGAATGTAAGGACCTGTCCGTGTTCAAGATTAGTATATCTCAGGGAGGCATAAACATAATTGTCGAACGGGAATTGGGTTTTAAAAAAAAACATAATTTAAGTTGAATTAAAACTGAAAACTAAAAAAAACTCAGTTTTCACATTTTGAACAAAAAATTTTTTATTTGTTTAAAATCGCAGATTGTTCAATGAAATACAAACTGCTGTCATGAATTAAAAAAATCATACTAAACGCAACGGACACTTTGTTTACGTCCGGGTTTGTTTTTGTCTTTTTTGTATTGTTGGCAATAACAACAAACACAAGAGAATGATTACGCATGCAACATTTTACCAAGAATTTAAATATAAAAATATTTCTTATTTATGGAAAAATTGGTGTTGGCAAATTTGTTGATTTCAAGTGTAAAATGTGACTACATTATTATTTGGGCACTTAAGATACTCCTATTAGAACATGTGTATGTTTTTTATGAGTGGAAAAGTGACTCTTAGAAATAACATGTTTATTGTTTACGTTATTGTTATCACCAGCTTAAGAGTGGCAGTATTTTGGTTGTAAGGTGGCGATAGCTGGAGTAGCCAGGTTGTTATTATAAGAGATAACCAACCTATGTTTGCTAACGTTCGTTCGTATATTGGAGTGTTTGATTGCAAGAAGTAGTCCTAAACTACTCTCTCAAACTAAGTTAGCGGAGACGCCAAGTTGTACGAATACCAGTCTGGAAATAGTTTCAATTTACTCATTCATCAACAATGAAATTACTATTATATGCGGATACCGCCAACCTAACATTAATCTCATAGAAAACGACATTAGGAAATTATTTGAGAAGAACGTCGCAACTACTGCCGATAGGAGACTTAGACAGCAAAAACAAATTTTGCTTTAAGTTATATCAAAAAATATAAATTTCTTCCGATCCTAATATCATTCATCCAAAAAGTATACAAACTAAACACCAGTATAAAAGAGTATATGCGTTAATACATCGAAAGCTGTTACAACATCTACGATAAATAAACCAAGTTCCATTAACATGAAGAATTATACATTACCAAAGCACATCATGAATGTAGATAAAAAAAACTTCAGAAAACACGTCAACCTCAACTAAAACAACAACTAAACCAGCTCATATATGCTATACGCAAAAAATGGAACAGAACCGTATTCAAAAATGTCTAAACGTTATTTTAACTTGAGGGGTCGATTTGACAAGCTGGAAAAAGGCGGAAAAAAAGAAAATAAGTATTAAAACTACAGACCTATAAGCTTATTACGCTGTCAAAGATATTTGAGAAGATTATTTGTGCATGATTATCAAATATAATTGACGATTTAAGAATTATCACAAATATCCTGTATGGATTTCGCAAGTCTCCCTTACTGACATAGGTAACTAACATGACTGAACAAGGGTTTGAAGATAAAAAGTTTACGGTGGCTTCTTTTTTAGACGTAGCAAAGGTATTTGACAAAGTTCTAATTTTTCGTTTTTGGAAAATACATCTTAACAATCAAATAAGTCAAAGCTGGAGTTCGCTGATAATATGATTATTGTGTCACAAAATAGAGATCTAGAAGAAGCAACTCATCAGCGGCAGCGCGCACTTAATAAAGTTAATAATTGGTTGACTAACTTAATTCAAACAATAAGTTGGAACCCAAAAGACAAGGCGATGAAATATCTTTGAGTCATGCTATATCAAAGACATACATAGAGGATCCACAATTAATCATACTGCTTTTTAATCCTTAAATTCGTCCATTAATAACATACGCCAGTTCAATTTGGAGCAATATTTCAAATATAAACATTAAAAAATTAGAATCATTGCAAAATAGAATCATTCGATTTGCACTGGACGCACCCTGGATCACTCGTAACGATCGAATAAGAAGATAGCTTAATATAAAAACGATGGCTAATTTTATGCATCGAACTACATTAGACTTTTCGAAAAGAATCAACTTTGCAATTCCGCACAACAGAGAACACAACATGGGTAATCGAAATATTCACATCAGACTAAAATACAAACATTCTCAAGATATTCATATTCCCGAATAAATCCAAATCTGTTTAAGTCAAACAGCCATTAACTTCTAGCGTATCCTATACTTTTATTCTGTTGCCATATTATTTTGTCATACTTATGTCATGTAATTAAATATGATGTAGGTCTGTTTTTATAAGTCTAATCGACAAGAACTCATTATGATTTGAGCCACTTGCGACCCATTAATATTATGCCTTCACTGACCAAATTTTTTGAAGGAATTATAGCACTACAGCTTTGTTACTTCTTTCCACTGGATTCTTAGTCTACCTCGACTTCTTCGTCCTTCTAGTTTTATATTGAACATTTTCTTTGGTATTCTTTCTTTATTCGTTCGAATCACGTAGCCATACCATTTCAGCTGTTTCTCTTCTATCTCCTCTATTAGAGCTATTAAACTTAGTTCCTCTCTAACGCTCTTACTTTGTACTCTAACTGTCTTGTGTTTTCCTACAACTTTTCGTAAATACCTCATCTTTGGTGTTTTTTTTTAATTTGTGTTTGTCTAACATTGTCCTAGGTTGCAGTATGTAGGAGAGAGTGGGTGTATAGATAGTACTTTTGTTTTATTTGCTTTCGTTTTGTAATATTCAGGTAGGTAGCTTTCTTATCTACCAGGGTATTATCTATCTGATAATAGACAGATAGAAAGATGTTTATGCTAACAAAAAATTGATTTTGTTTACTCCAAGACGATATTTCAATGCGTTTAGAAATTATATGGAGGCGTTTGCCGTGCACTGTATGTGGCATCTGTAAAAGGAAGTGAATATCGCATGTGCTGTTAAGGATCGAATGTTCAGTATGACGCGGATAGGAACTCTTCCCTGTTTGTGTCAACCACAAACTGTATAAGACCACCTTATCTATCATAAAATTAAATCCATACAATTAATAAGTCTAGAAATATTCAAGTAGCTTTTCTTATTGTGCCTAACATGTATTACTGGTTACATATAACATGTGTAACTCGTTACTTGAATCCGTTAGGAGTTTATCGATTTTCCTTTAATGGTGAAGTTAAAAAGTTTTTAAGTACTTGAAAATCACATTATATTTGTCATCAAGATCGTTAATTATCAGCTTGGAGACACTCAATATGACAGAATATTTCCTTCAGTAGTTGTGTTATCAGTGATAAACTGTTTTAAAAGTTTTGGTGATAAACTTTTCATATACGCTAGTTGGGAGTAGGTTTTACCCGAAGTTTCAACACTTGGCAATTTTGGTAGCCTATCATGATCGTAGAATATTGCGTGTACACCACTGCTGAGTTTTTTGCTTATGATATAAGCTATCTTCTTTGTGTTCTCTGCGTTAACTTTGTATCTAACTTTATGGCTGATACGAAGTCGATCTTCATATCATTGCACTCTAAGACATCAACAACGTGAAGTTGACATTTGTATAAGCAGCAACCATTGGTTCATAAAAGCCTGCATTGACTCAATTGACACAACTCTCCCTGGCAACGTTTGGACACACTCGAAAAGACAAGTTTAGTAATGATGTAGAAAAAGTATTTCTCTCAGTCTAACAACGACTGGAAAAATATATATATTAGAAAAAAACTAGAAATATCTTTGTTATTATAAATTAACCCATTAACACACTCTTTTCCGTTGATGAAACTGTTAGGAGTTGGTGCATATTCGAGACGCGTCGTCGTCGCTTTAACGGCGCGTTTATAAACGTTCCGAGAAGTCGTATTTTCGTTAAAATCTCGAACAAAACGGTTTCGCGCGGCGCGAACATAAAATCTATACGCCGTATTGTTTTACTCTAGTGATTTTAACGCATCGACCCAGAATCCTTAACCAAGTGCAACAAAGAGAGAACGAAGAAAAAATAAAAATCTTTAAGTGTTTATAATTTCGAAAACGCCACGCGCAAAGAGGCGTTTGTAAAACAAAACCGTTTTTCGGGGAATACTTAAAATCCGATCGTAAAGTGGGATTTTAAATATTTTTTGTGCGCCATTAAAATTTTCTTTCAAATTTTTGTTTTTAAAATTTATAAAACAATATAACCCCTATCTCATCTCATCTCATCAATTCAAGATTACCAACAAAAAAAATAATGAGCCACCATAAAACACAAAAAAAATCTTCTTAATTTTCAATTTGCTTTGTGTTCTTTTACTTTTTGTTCTTTCTTGGTTGTCGAGAGCGGTAGCCCATTATGTGTTAAAAAAATTCTTCGTGGGTGTTCTTCCAGCACCACGGTCTGTGTACAGATTGTTATTACGCGGTGGCAAAAACGAAACCATTTGTGAGGGTGTATTGTTGTTATTTCTTCGAACTGCTTGGGTTCGGTCATTGTATTTGTTATGTAACGATATGACCAAAACAAAAATGTTTGTTTTATACACGCACATAACACATCGATAAAAACAATCGCGCGCGTTATACATTCACCAAAAAAAATAGCGAATCAAAAAAAGATTGCAAAAGCTTTTGTAAACTTCTTTTAGATCAAAGTGAATGAAACAGGAAAGATGTTTAAACATTTTTTGTCGCTTAGTCTTTTGAAAAAAGATGATAT